AATTGAAGAAAGGAAGTTACAGTTGAGTAAATACTTGTAGTAACTTTTTGTATTTTAACATATAAATAGCTTAAATAGAAGGTTGATCAGAAGTAAAGTGAATATTTAAAAAACAGTCAGATTTGGCATTTCAGAGCAGATATAGTCCAGTATCATATCATGTAACCTGTGCAGAATACACCAATCTAAGCCTATTGATTTTATTGTACTTAGATGGGAATAATTTACAGAGGATTGTACTGTAAAAGACTGTGAGGGCCCTGTCCCCTCCTCCAGCTGAGAATCCCTTCGTAATTGGAGCTCCCATCTTATTTTGGAGTTAGGCTGTAAAAGGGGGTGCCTGTTAAAACAACTAAGTGCCAAGGGGACCTAGGGAGTCTCATAGGCACCTAGGTTATGCCATGACATTAACAATTCCTGGGGACATAAAGAGGACAGGGTTTGCTGGCATCACAAACTGATTCAGGGCACTCTCCTCCAGCTCAGGGTTCTCAGTAACAACAAGAGTTCACTTCATTCTCAGTAACAAAAGACTTTTCAATACTGGGATATCCTGGCATATTCCAGAGCTGCCTGCCCAGCCCAAGGAAGTTGCTATTGCATTAACAAATGTCCAGTTCCTCTTTTCTCCCCTTAAAAAAAAAAACTCAATCAAAAAGGGCATTCATGTCATTAATTTATGCTCCATCCTTTTTCAGTCAGGAACTAATTAAAATACATTAATCATATTCCAGGCTCTTTGTGCCCATGCAGATTTGGGTCACAATATTTATTTATTTATTTATTTTTATTATTTTATTTTATTCAATTTATACCCCGCCCTCCCTGCTGCGCGGGCTCAGGGCGGCTCACAAAGGGGCCTGCGCCAATATAAAACATATTTAAAATCATTTAAGATCACTACAGTACAAATAAAATCACATTAACCAATTACTAAATAATGTGCTCTAGATATTATTTCGCAAGCTGGCGTATTTCACTGCTCTATTTCCACTGCTCTATTCCTCAGCATCATCTGCTCCGGGAACCACTGATGTTCCCTCTTCCAGGGCCAGGTTAAGATAGACAATAGTGATGGTAGTCGTCTAATCAATAGTATTTTTCCTACTAAAATTTGACAGCAGATAACTTTAAACCAGCAGTGAGATTCAAACTTTACATTTTGGGAAATCAGGTTCTTGAGAAAGTGGTCTTTCCCATAAAAAGACCATCCCAACTGGCTTCCGGTTTGATATCTGTGAATGGTGGTCACTTCTTCGGGAGCCTAAAATTTGACAGCAGATAACTTTAAACCAGCAGTGAGATTCAAACTTTACATTTTGGGAAATCAGGTTCTTGAGAAAGTGGCTTCCCATGTCTAGCTATGGGACTCTTGCGCACAGGGGTTGTGCCTTTTTACCGGCCGGATGGTCGGAAATTGAGGCTCACCGCATGCCCCAATGGCTCTTGCTGCGGCAATGCCCCGCATGGGGACTAGCAGACGCACCGGGTGTCACTGAGTGCTGAAGCGAAGAAGTTAAAGCATGGAAAAAGTGATAAGCGGCTAACCGTGAGTTGGAGATTGAATTTAAAGTTAACGGCATATAAGCACTCCGTCCCCCGGGAAAGTGAAAGGGAGGAGGGAGAATTCCCCCCCCCCCACTGAATAAAGAGACTTGTTGAAAGCAGAAAGGAGGGGCGAAGTGGAGTTTGAAAAAAAATTGTTACCTTTTGGGAGTGTCTTGAAAACGGAGAGGAGGGAGGGATCCCCAAGCTGCGCAGCACGAACTTTTAAAAAGTAAACAAAAGCTGAAAATGGCGGTGCCGAAAAAGTTTCTGGAGAAGCAGACAAAGAAGGTAGGAGCTGCTTCCAGTCTTAGCCCCTCCCCTGCAGGGGCTGCTGCAAGCCAGCAGGAAAGTGAGATACTGTGCCCTCTGCTGGCTGAATTGCAGAAGATCAACCAGAAGCTGGATAGCATGGAAAGTGCTTATAATATTCAACAAAAAAAATAAATGAATGAGACAGCCAAGACGGTGGATGAAATTG